TTGAATTCAACATTTTTTTCATTTTCTTCGTTATTTTCGGATTTAATGATTTTTACAATTTCGTTAGACATGTTTGTTAATTGATTAATTTTTTCAATTGAAAACTTATTAATAATTATTGGATTATCATTGATCTTAAGAGTATTTTCAATTTTCTTTGAAATGATTTCAAAATCGTGGCGGTCTGGGCTACCAGCCAACCATTTCCAAGCTGTACCGAGAATCCTTATTTATCCTAGGTTTAATTCTAGCAATATGGGATTTTATTTGGGATAAGGTGAAGGATATGTATGGGATTAAGGGATGACGGCTGGTGTTTATAAAAATGTCTTTTTAAAATTTACGTATTATATTTTCATAATTCTGCAAATCGATGTTATGAATAATTTTAAATGATCCGGTTTGAATTTTTGCTAGTCCTGCATGAATTGTCATTAATTTAGAAATGGAATAGTTCAATATTTGGAAATCTGCTCTGCATAATGACAGCAGTAGTGGTACTCTGCAATATATTAAGCGAATTTAGTTAATGTTTTATGTGGCTTTTGTCACCCTCGGTTACTATGGTTGAATTTCTATTTTTCTTTACTATTTCTTCTTTATACCTTTCTGACAATTTTGTCCCTAGCCGCTTATTTATCTTAACGTAGACCTTTTGGCCTGGCCGGTTCGTTAACGAATACAATCGAGTGATTGTATTCGTTAACGTCCTTTTCTAAAAGTTCTTCAAAATCACGGCATACTCCTTCAGATTTAATCCATCTCAAAAGTTTGGCTAATGTTGAGTGGAACCTTTCGATTTGTCCATTAACTTCGCTCCTGTAAGGTGGGCAAGTAAATACATCAATCCCTAATTCGTCTTTCATCATAAACATTATTGACGTTTTTGGTACCCCATAAAAGAATAAGAGATCTCTAAGAGGTCTCCTTACATCTTCCGTAAATTTTCCTTTAAGTATACGGGCTTGAGCATATTTTGAAAATTTGTCTATGGATGTTAGCACTAATTTTTTGTCCGTTGAAAAGATATCCAAATGAAGGATTTGTCCTGGATAGGTGGGGATAGGTGTTTCATTAAGTTTTGGGTTGTTAGGGTGCCTTTCGTATTTATTTGCTCTGCAAATCGTGTATAGTTTCACAATCCTTTTTGTCTTGCCTAGCATTCCGGGGAAGTAGTATTTTTCTAACATGTGTATTTTATTTTCCTCGGCATTACGATGTGCCCTTTTATGGGTGTCTATTATAATATTTTCTTTGTCAGTTTCAGATTTAACATCGTCAACAACAACATTCTGGGAAAATAAAACTTTGTAATTTCTAAAATGAATGAGGTATATTTCCTGAATTTTGCCCATAATACATTCTGGTGCTTTTACACCATTTCTGATTGAAGGATTTAAATAACGCTTTAAAAATGTTGTCAAGTTTTCTAGTGTGAATTCTCGTTCGTTAATAATATGCCTGTGGTAACCTGGGAATATAATTTTAAATTGGTAGGATGGCTCATCACTAACTCATCAGAACTAAATTTGGTTCTTAAATACGTTTATTGGAATTTCTGTACTATTAATTAAATTTTTCTTACAGTCGGGGTAATATAGCATTACATCTCTAGATACCAAGGCATTTTTAAGATTGTCTATCGTTTTTTTCTCATTCTCTCCCAGGTATGTTACCATAAGGTCCTCTTAACATAGATGTGAGAGGTTTTGCGATATCTGCAAAACCATCGTCGAATCGTCGATAGTAATTGCATAGTCCTAAAAATGATCTCAATTGCCTAAGTGTCACAGGATATGGAATGTTGACAAGTGCATCAACCTTCTTCCTTATAGTTTTTATCCCTTCCCCAGAAACTACAAATCCTAAAAATTCTACTTCCTTTTTGAAGAATTCACATTTGTCCAACTGTTCGTGTTGTCCAAAAGATTTCTTCCACATTTTTTAAATGCGACTATTCGTCTTCGCTAAAAATAATCACGTAGTCGATGTAGACATAGCAGATCTTACCAATATAATCTCTCAATATATCGTCGAGTGCCCGTTGGAATATGGAGGGCGCCTTCTTTAATCAGAATGGCAACCTTGTAAATTCATATTTGCCGTTATTGACAGAGAACGCGGTTTTCTCGATATCTTCCTCTCTTAAAGGGATTTGATGAAATCCACTTTTTAGGTCAATAACTGAAAAGAACTTATTTCCCCCAAGCTTTGACAAAACTGCAGTAATCTCCGGAATTGGATACCTACCTGCAATTGTTATTGAGTTCAACTTCCTAAAGTCTACCACCACACGATATTTTTTTTGCCCTGATGCATCTTCCTTTTTTGGTGAACGAGAAGGTCTTATTATTCCATCCTTGAGTAGCTTACTAATTTCTTCGTCTACTATCCCTTTCAGTGCTGTTGGATATGGATAATTTCTGGTGTATGTCGGTGCGTTAGTTGAAGTCCGAATTTCGCCCTTAACCGAGTGGTATAAGTCAAACGCTCGTCTGGGTCAGCAAGAAGGTTCCTAAAAGTATCAACCATTCGTGAAAGTTGTACATTTTGATTTGGAGTCATATGTCCCATTCTCATTTCTATGTTATTAACGTTTTGAATCAAATATTGGTATATGGGTATTGTTACTTGATTTTGAAGTGTAAAGTAATTTTTAGATGAGTAAATCACAGCAGATAATTCGACAAGTGTGTTATTTCCCAAAATAGCGTCAAATGTACGTAAGCCTGGCAATATGTAAAATTTGGTATGGTGAGTGTCTATAACATTGCCCGATATTGCATTGGCAGAAAGAATTTCCAGATTCGGTTTTGGACCTTGTACGTGCTCTGATTTAATATAGATCTTATTACTACTAGTGTCTATTAAAATTTTGAGTTCTTTTACGTCCCTCGTTTTTATATTAAAATATGGAAACGAGGAACTATTAAACCAAAAAAATTCATAACGTCATTGAGTTCTTGTAAGGAATAACTTTCCGATTTATCATGTTCCTCTATCCTATAATCGCATGGATTAAGATAATCTTCTACATCGTTTTGGTTGACAATTTCTTCGTAATCTTCATTATAGTCAGCAGCGTCCGAGGTTGCTCAGAATGAGCTACATTCTGGTAAATCCTTAAAATCTGTATTTACTGAATTTGGTGTATCCGTTGTATTTAAATGAAAGTTGCGTTGAACTATGTTGACTAGTGTTTGAAAGCTTGCGGTTGCTGACCTTTTGAATGGAAAATTATTATATTGAGGATTATTTGCATAGTTAACGTGTCTCGTTTGCATGGATTGATCTACTTCCATGGGTTGAGGCTTATTATGTATTGTATCATATTGGTTATGTTGAACCGGATTTATTCGAGAACGATTATTATTAAAATGTTGTCTAAAAGCATGATTACTATTGGAGGCTTGTGGTGCCTCAAACCATGATGTTTTTTGAGACCGATGCGGAAACGGAGGTCTCGCTTGGAATTTGTTCTGTCCCTCAAAATTAACAAGTTCTGGATTGAATCCTTGTTTAGTTGTTGCATAGTTTCCGAAATTAATAGCCGTTCTCGTCTGACCAAAGACAAGGTTGGTTCTTATGTTCATATTATCCAATTTTAGGCAGATATGCAATGCTTGAGGCAGTTAATTGGGAGCAAAAATTGCTAATAATTTTGGTAACTGATCCCTAAGCCCTATAATAAATGTGTCCAAAGCTTTATCTCTGTATGCCTTCGTCATATTCGCAAGACTTTTGTCGTCATAATCTAGGCATGCTATTTTGTCTAGGATTAAAGAAAGGTGCTGGTACACAGCACGACAAAACTGAGTAACCGTCATACTGTTTTGTCTCAAGGAACTCATTTGGAATTCTAGTATACTTAGTATTCCAGTGCGGTATCAGCGTCACCAATAACTTTCAATCTAATGGTATGTAGGATGGCAAAATACCTACTAGTACCTTTTATAGAATCAAAAAGTTCTAGTATTCTATCGACTGACTTACGCCATGAATTAAACTCTCCTGGTCTACCACTGGATTCTCTTAAACTTTTAACTATATCTGGAATCGAGTCCAGTTGCTTAATATTGACTTGTGTTATAGGCTGATCGCCCATTTCCTCTGTGCTGTCTAGTGGAAAGAAACTTCTCATAATTTTAATCGCATCATCTTTTTGTGTTTGAGTTAATCCTAAACAAGTTGAAGACGTTCCTAAGTCTAACCCTTTTCTTAATCTTTCGGCTATGTTGTCTACTTCCGTCATTTTGGTAGATTTAACATGGATGTTAGTAGGAATGAGAGGATTAGTTGTTCAAATAAATTTAATTTTAATAAGTACTAAAATTTAACGGCAATATTATACTATAAGCTTACTTTAATAACGTTAACATATTCATTTCGTTTTCCTTCGGTGTTTGCTGGCTCGTTCTGTTGATGATTATTCGCCGTATGCTGCTTTACATTATGTTACGTTTTGTAGACTTCTTTGTAAATTTCTATAGTTCCTCAGTTTTTATTTTGATATCTTGATAATAGTTTCATTTTCATTATTTTTTTTCTTTTACACTTTTTGCATTTAGTTTATGTTCACATACAATTTTTTCCTTTAATTGATCGTCACAGTTCAATAACATTCTATTTTGCCATATATTCTAAATGTGTATTTCATGTATTTTTTGTTTCATTACTATTCATCGAATTTCACTTTTAATTTTAAACTTCGTTCCTTTTATTTTCTTTATTTCTTGTCAAAATTATTTTTTTTCTTCTGTTTTTAAAACTTATTTCAATTTGTTTATTTCTAGTTTATTTTTTGTTTCATTGCTTTTTGTTTAATTTAACTTTAACTTTTTTTATTTTATAACCCGATTTTTTATTTTCTTATTAATTATCAGCTCAAATTATTTCATTTCCTTTTTTTTCAAAATTTATTTCAATTTATTTATTTCCACTTATTTAAAAGTTGATTGTCATTTATATATTTTTTCATTTATTTATAAAACTAAATTCAGTTCGCGTACCAAGGCTGCTGGCTATAAAAGGCCTGACGTGGACATACGACGTGGACATACATAGGCATTGTTTGTCTTAAGCCATTACCATATTCAAATTCGAAACGGTGAATAATGTAGCTAAAATCATCAAAATATCGTATATAAGGAGGTGCCGTTAAATTGGAGCTGTGCGAAGACCTGGACCAGCATAGACAATTTTCTGTCACAGGCTGTAGCATCCATTACGAACTTCAAATACCACATCTCAAACAATTTCGGTGGGTATTGTACCTAAAATCGTCAAAATACCGAATATAGGGAGGTACTGATATATGGAGCCTATACGAAGACCTGGACCTGCATATACAATTTTCTGTCACAGACTGTAGTTCCCATAACGAACTTCAAATACCAATTTTGAAACAATTCCGGTGAATAATGTAGCTAAAATCATCAAAATATCGAATATAGGGAGGTACCGTTATATGCGGGCTATATGAAGACGTGGACTTGCACAGACAATTTTCTGTCTTAAGGTGTAGTATCCACTTTGAACTTCAAATACCAAATTTGAAACAATTCCCGTGAAAAATGTCGCTAAAATCATCAAAATACCGAATATCGGGAGGTACCGTTATATGGGGGCTATACGAAGACGTGGACCTACATGGCCCATTTACGAACTTAGCCTGCGTACTGGAAAAATAAATATGTGTGCAAAAATTTTAGCCATCTATCTCAATTCATACGAAAGATAGCGTGATTGCAACAGACAGACAGACAGACGGACATTTTTTTACATTATTTTTATGTAGTAAAGAAAGTATAAAACCGCAAGAGAAAGTGATTTAAAAAGAACAATAAAAAGAAAAAAACAAAGCAGAGAACTAGATCAAAGTACATTCACCGCAAATCAGTCATATTTCGAATTAATTTTTAAAATATTTTTACATCATTATTTTCAAAACTTTTTTTACACTGATAACTATCTGTATTCGATAACTATCGTGAACAACGTATGACTTTGAAATGTTCGTTACTGAAGTAGAATCTAATATTCTATAATAGTTTAAAAGCATTTATTCCAAACGACGAATTTTATTTTTCAATTAACCTCCGTGTTTTGTGATTTCACCCCTTTGTGCGTTGTTTGGGGGCCATACAAAAACGGGAACCTATATTTAAAAATTTTACACTAAAATGTTTTTAAATATTGTGAGTCTTATATACCAAATTTGTAAAAATTCCGTGGGTAAATGTGACTAGGATTGTAAAAATACTGAATATCGGTGTGTGCCGTTATATGGAAACTGGAGGCCAATATGGACAATATATTGACACCTGTTTTAGAACCCATTACGAACTACAATTACCAAATTTTACTAAAATACTTAACTCGTCAAAGTACCGAATGTCCGATAACGAACGGACGTTATGTATGCGATGTAGGAAAACGTGGACCTACATAACATTTTTTAGTACAGGAGCTAGAACCCATTACGAACAACAAATACTATTTTTGGACAAACGCGGGGAAAAATGTGGCTAAATCTATCAGAATACCGAATCTATCAGAGTACCTTTATATGGGGACCATGGAAAAAAGTGGACAGCTAAGTCTTAATATCAAATTTAGAACAATTCCGTGGGAAAATGTGGCGAATATCATCAAAAAGACAAGTGAAGTTAGATATTATTTTGATCGCAGAGGATCTCCTTGCCAGTTACTAATGCATTAATACTAATTTCCAAGTGGAGAGTAATATGGTATGCATCAAGCTAGCAAAGTATCAACAACCGTCGGACTTCACTTTTCACACAGAGGGAGGGTGTAGAGGAGATGCCAGTGATGTCATATGCATCTGTGATTGGCCGAGCTCGGGAAGTTGATGGGTAAAGTATATAGCTTATAACTTATCCTTGAAAAGGTGGAGAGTTTAAAAGTAAATCTGGGCATAAAATGTTCAATGAAATTGTACGATTTATATTTAAGTGCTATAGGAGAAATTGTAAATGTCCTACTGGCAGTCCATTTGGCTAAAGTTATTTTCTCGTCCATTAAAATACAAAATAAAAACAAAATTTTATAATATTGCTTTCAGTAGCATCAAGTTGTATCACACTTTTCTCAAGAATAAAATGGAAGGTATACTAAAACTAATGAAGATAATTAAAAAAAATGCAGAGACAATTTTCTGTAATAGGTTGTAGTATCCATTACGAATTTGAAATAGGAAACTTAAACTTCGGTGAAAAATGTCGCTAACATCATCAAAATACCGAATATCGGGAGGTATGGTTATATGGAGGCTATAAGAAGGCGTGGACCTGAATACTGTAGACTGTAATACCCATTGCGAGTTTTCAATACAAAATTTGAAACAATTCCAGCCTATAATGTTTCTCAAATCATAAAAATAAAGAATATTGAGAGGTTCCGTTATATAGGGGCAATACGAATACGTGGGAATGCACAAGCAATTTTTTTTCATAGATTGTAGTATCCATTACGAACCTAAAATATGAAATTTGAAAAAATTCCACTAAATGACGTCTCTAAAATCATCGACATACCTAATATTGGAATGTACCGTTATATGGGAGGTGTACGCACACGTGGACCAACATGGTTCATTTACGAACTTAACCTACCTACTGGCAAAATACACATGTGTGCAACATTTTAGCCTTCTATTCCAATTCGTTCGAAAGATAGCGTGATAACAACAGACAGACTGGCATCGCTAAATCGAAGATTTTACGCTGATCAAGAATATATACTATGTTGGGTCTGACATGAGTATTTTGAGGAGTTACATAGAGGGCATAAAAATTGGAAGGAAATTTAAAAAATATATTTTGAATATGTTCCCCTTTGTAAACAAGTTGAAAAGCAGCTATGTTCGGCCAGGCAGAACGTTTAATGTCCTCCACCATTTTGAAGTAACTTGATAAATTTCCAAAAAACAGCTCAGTCGAAAAGTACCACTCAAAGGAAAACCAGTATATGGGGGCTATACGAAGGCGTGGTCCTGCATATACAATATCGGAAGTTACCGTTGTGTGGGGGATAGAATTTTAGGCTATTGTATTGAAAAATTTGGCTAAAATCATGGAAATACCGAATATCGAGGTTACCGTTATATGGGGGCTATATGATATTTTGGCCTAAATTATTATTTCGATGAGTTACAAACGGACTTAATATACCCACCATTGTATGTATGGTGGAGGGTATTAAAGACAATATTTGGACTTAAAGACAATTATAACATTTATGTGTCCCCAAATATTTGTGAAGCCATATGGTAGGTTTGATGTTAACGATTCTAAATGCATTCCAAAGCTGCTCAAAAGCGTACATTAGACCATCAATGATAGGAGATTAAATAACAATGTTGTAATACCCAACCAATATATCTGCGAAATAATAACAAACAACTAACGATTCAATGGTCCAGACCTACAACAAAATGCACAAATCTTATCTGATCTCAGGTTTGAAAACTCTGCCTGCATCAGCTCAAACACGAAACCCCACTGGAAAAATAGAAAATATTCTCACTAGAGCTTGTTAAGCAAATGGACCTGAATAACACATTATTGCACGCTTTGAAAACGCAAAACCAGTAAAGAAAGTCTTAAAATCGGGCGGGGCCGACTTTATGCTACCCTACACCACTTTGCTAATTTAGTAGAGCTGCGCATAACAATTAAAAGTCTTTATGGGAGAATTCAATCATACACGCTATGATTATAATTATAATTTAAAGTTCAAAGGACTAAATATGCCGAAGCATTTGTATCTTTTAAATTCGGACTTGTATTGCCCATTTGGTGCACAATTAATTTTAAATCGGATAAAGATATATATGGGAGCTATATCCAAATCGTAACCCATCTCGATAAAATTTGACAAAGATATTTCTGAGCTGTATTTGATATATTTCCCTGAATATCGTTGTTACGGAGTGCATATTATGACTGTGGGTAACAAGTATATCAAATCGGATGAAAGTATATATGGGAGCTATAGCTATATCTGAACCGATCTTCACCAAATTTAACATTCTACCTTCTAGGCTCAATTCGGTCGTAAGTGCCAAATTTCATCCAATTTGGGCAAATATTAGACGTTTGGTGCACAATCAAAGGTAAATCGGACGAAGTTATATATGGAAGCTATATCCAAATCTGAACCGATCTCTATAAAATTTAGCAAATGTATTTCTGAGCTGTATTTGATATATTTCCCCAAATATGGTTGTTACAGAGTGCATATTACGGCTGCGGAGGACAAAAACAACAAATCGGATGAACAATATATATGGGAGCTATAGCTATATCTAAACCGATTTCGATCAAATTTAGCATACTTATTTTTAGGTCCAATCTGATCGTACATGCAAAATTCCATACTATTCGGACTGATTCTACACGTTTGGTGTACAATAAAAGGCAAATCGGACGAAGATATATATGGGAGCTTTATCTACATTTTGACCGATTATCTCCAATTTCAATAGGGTTCGTCCTTGGGCCAAACAAATGATTTGTGCAAAATTTTATCTGGATAGGGCAATAAATGCGAACTATACTTTGTTTACAAAAATACATAGACAGACGGACGGACGGACATGCATAAATCGACTCAGAATGTGATTCTATGCAGATCATCAAAAGGAACTATGGGTCTATCTCGTTTCCTTTTGCCTGTTACAAACAAATGCACAAGACATAATACCCTGACCACCTTGTGGTCTAATTCTTGACATCGTCCCCTCTAAAAAATAACATTCACAAATAGGGAAGTTCGACATACTAGTAAGTATCACAGCAAAGATCAAAATGTTAAAACCCACATTTGATGAAAAATAGAAGTATCCCCATAGTAAAAAAAGGGCCACAGTGGGGCAACCTGTAACAAATAAACGTTTATATAAGTAATTTATTTTAAACTGATTATACCAACTATGACCGTTATTGATTACTTTATAGCGATTTGGATTTGCTTTAGAGTGACTCTCATTTGTAATCGAATGGAATTTTGAATAACACACATTTAATCGGAAAGAATCGATTTTTTATGTTGTATGTGAACTATATGTACCAGAGCAAGATCTATATCTGAACCGATTTGCACCACATTTAACGTGTTTGCTTCTTTGCTAAATTCGATCGAATGTGCCAATGACAGGCAAGCGCAACATAAAACATTAAACTTCAATCAATATATTTCATCAGATTTGGAACAAAATCCAGACTTAATAAAAGGTAT